GTATTCACTGAGTAAAATTTGCGCGTTTGTAGAGAAATCACGTAGGTTATGTAGATTGTCATGCGTTAGTTGTAGGTTGATAGCCTAACCAGTTACGTAAATCCGAATAAACCGCAAGCATACAATTGTGGTTTCTTATCAACAAATCCAACTATCCTTCGAAGTTATAACTATGACCGTTGTTCCTTCACGTTGGTATTCTCTTAACATTGCCTTCTCACAATGTATTTAAAGAGACTACAAAGCTCAAAACCTACTGATACTGATCAGGAGGTTGGTTCAATTTCAATGTTCTTCCTTAATTGAATCTTAAACTCTTATACCACTCAGTAATTCTCGCTATAAACATCTTAAGTATATTTATGAGAGAAATACGTACCGGTACAAATATACATAAAGACATCTTTAGTACGCGAACGCGTTGTAAATACGCGTAGATCATTAGCGCACGTTCCTATTTCAGAAGAACGCTATTCAATGAGAGCCAAAATAACTGCACACAGCTCAGTTTTTCTCTCGCCCTTCTTTCTCCCATACCCGTCTCACATCTTCCCAACACCAGACAGCCACCCAGCCTATCGGTAGTCTTTAATTGCACGCATCTTGGAAGGTAAGACACCAGAATCCATCTGATTTTCCATGAGAAAACATGTTAAAGCATTCTCAAGATACCTCACAGTTGAATCCCTGTTCCAGCAACTTGATCACTCTAATGTGATCACCTTTCTCACAAAGACTCCAGGCACACAGTCTCACCAATCCAGCCCCCACACAACCAAGCACTCACACCTGCAGCAGCCATGGCGGAACAAGAAAAAGACAATAAAGCCAAGGAAGAGCGGATCTCTGAAAAAGAGGACCAAGCCAAAGATGAGTTGACCTCTGACAAGGAAGTTAAATCCAACGAGGATGAGCACATCGATAAAGATAACAATGCTCAAGAGGAGGAGAAAGTTGTGACGCCGACCAGCTTCCCTAAGTTCATGCTTCTCCCAACGGAGCTACGTTTCATCATCTGGGAATATGCCTTGCCTGATCCGCGTTACCTTCGAGTCTGTGTAGAATCCGACGACGAAGATGAGGATGATGATGATGACGATGATAATGACGAGGACGAGGAGGCTCAGAAGGCTCGGGCCGAGAGACGAAGAAAGAAGAGCTTTGATAAACGTGGTTTTCCAAAATGTGGTGGTCCATCTTATTACGCGCCTGAGCTCCTCAACCCAGGAAGATTCATGGACTTTCCTCTTGCGTAAGTACTCTCCAAAGACAGTTTCTTGTTATTCTAATCACTACCAAGAGCAAGTAAACTGCCATCAAGTTGCACATATATCTTTGAAGGGATTCCACGCTTCCGAAGTCTCTTATGTATCACACACTGGACAATGATTACTGACTCTAAGTATTACAGTGCTGTCTGTCGAGAGTCTCGCGAATTCATCATCGACTTCGGCTACGATATTCTTTACAAAGATCGCTTGGGCCGGGATGGTGATTTGTTTCAGGGACCGTGGTTCTGCGAGGGCCGCGACGAGTGCGAGGAGTATACGGAAGAGTTGATTTACCAAATTTCCAAGGGCCCTAGACAAGGAGAATGGCTTTACGAGTGATCGGAAGTGATCAAGCAAGGTTTGAGGTCAAGTTCAAGTTGAAGTTCGGGTTCACATTCGGTTTCGGGTTACTACCAAAATCTGGCTGGGCGGCGTTTCAAAGCAAGGATTCATAAAATGCAAAATGGGGGAAGACATGATAAACCTTGTCAGGCAACAATGTGCACGCATTTCAACAATGCGTGCAGCTTAGTTAACACTTCGTGGGAGAATAAATCAAAAGTCTTTCGACATCAATATCTATTTCTCCAAATCGTTATGGCCCTAAGTTGTGATTAAGCTTACCGTTGGTGATTAAATCTCCTGTCAAGTTGTCATGAGGATTACTTCCCTGCGTGACCACAGATGTAGAAATCACGCACGCTCGACTGAAACTGTTCACGCAGAAAGTTCACGATCTAAGGCTACGCAAGTGCAGGAAGCCGCATGGGATCATTGAATACATCTCAATAAGGCCGGAGGCGATCAAGGCTACTGGGAAATTTGCCCAAATGTAGTCGATGCTGTTCTATTGAAGTGCATTCCCTTTATCTTGGTAGTTCCCTTCATGCCGTATGTGAGCTATCGCGGGCCACTTGACTGCTTCTTATGGGTGGTGATTGCTGATTGAGCACTGCTCCCAATTATTCTGGAATACGCCTTTGTGAACTTAGAATATGCGCAGTATCTCTAGGATTCTTAGCGCCCTCATGTTTCCCTACTATAGAGAAAACTCACGCTGTGCTAAGATTTCTATTCATCACCCATTCCGCAAGGCCACATACGCCCCTGTCTAGAAAAGCATGTCGAATAAATACGTGGTGCGAGTTTTTATCTTTCGTACGCGCATCTAGAGGTTGTCGACTATTGTTCCCATTTATCCTCTTCCACTTTGTCTAAGAGTAGATCGGTGTCTCAAAATGATGTCTTGTGGTATTATATATATACCAATATTAGTGTATTAATATGTTTGTTTGGCCGTGGCTGCCGAAGCCATCAATAGTTATCGACATGGCTTGTTCAACCCAACTCTTCAAGTAGGGAAGGACTCGACCTTTTAACCATCCGGAAACCGCTGATTAAGTCAGTACCTCGCCAATTAGGGGTTTGAAAAGCAGGCTCCGTAAACCAATGTCCCCATCTAATCCTCATTTTCATTTCTCATACATGACTACCAGCCTGTGATTTTTGGGCCAAACCTTCCAACCAGAAATCACCGGCGCCTGGTAGAAGCCATAGCAACAGCAGTCTGTGCGGCAGATGTCCTTGCATTCGTAATCCTCATGCGCTGAAGGAACCTGGGCTCATATGTAATTCCACGACTTTCGGCTGCTGTATTCGAAAGCCTGAACCTGCGAGGATGTAGCACACCGGTCGCCTTTTAGTGTATAATTCAAAATAGAAGCGAGCGTGGGTTGCGACACAATTCAACGGGTTCCGCCACACTGAAGGGCGACCCACATCCGTTTGAAACTCATCAACAACTGAATTTGTGGCGGCTGTGGTGAGACTTGAGACGGAATTTCTCGTGCCGTAAGCTATTATTAACTGGAAATCGGTCATCGAGGCCGACTCGGAGTGAAACTATTCGAAGCCCAGGGCCGACTTCGGTCAAAATCCCAAGCGAAGCGCTTGGACGGGCTTGAACTTTTATGGTTTAGACCACGTGAGAGCGCAACGTAATCGCGGATTAAAACATCACGTTGGTTTATATATCCTAGGAGGCAGTTCGGAGACCAAAAATTTCTGGTTATCGGGTAATTCGCGATAATGTGTGGACTCATCGCTAAATTCTTGCGTGGGCCGCATCGTATAGGGGAATTCATTGGATGAGGCAGGCTGTCGATGGTCTATGTAGTTCGTGGGGTAGGTGAGATTGTGTATTATGGCGGCTGTTCTGGGATCGTCTATATTTGTCCGTCGTAGCGCTTGTACTATCGCTTCTACCTGAGCCGCGGTGTGATATCTGTGTGTGTCTACACAAGCAATCACAAAAAGAATAAATCGCACGACACTGTTCCGCAGTATTAGTATCGCGATGTAAGTAGGTGATTATCATCGCTCACGTAAAGATTCCTAGAAAGGATACCGACGCTATCTGGAACGGCCGAAGGTTTAGAGGAGCCTGGGCTCCGTACGCATATCCGGCTTCGGGGGGAATAAGGCTTGCGATGAAGATGAGGGCGACAATATTACCACCTAACAGGACAAGCTCTACACCGATGTGCCAACCGGGCGGTATTCCGGGGTTGCGTTTCCGGAGAATGATGCATATAAATTCAGTGAAGTCGACGACGATGCTGAGTAGTGTCTAAAAGGTCGACGGAATTAGCTTGGGGCGCGCAGCAAGCAGAGAAGTGTTGGGCAAATCGCGACATACAACGGGGAGAGTAAACCACCAATCAATTCGGAAATAATTCTGGTATCCGATCCAATTCCTAACGCGAACGCCATTATTCACGGAAAAGCCGATTATGATGATGCTTAAAACGAAACTGATGAATCGCAAGACAAACTTGGTCGCATTCCACTTTCCTCGGTGATAGAACCACCAACTACCTTCATCTGCCATCGGGAAATGTGAGAAGGCCTAACCGATAGACGACAATGATGCGAGCCGCGGGGCAAGGTTTAATGCATATCAAAGTTGGATGGAAAGCCTTCATAACCAACTGTATTGATTGAACAACCTAGGATGGGGGGAAAGAGTAAGACGAATCGTCGCCAGGAGAACACATACTGTGAACATACTATAACGTCACGCTGCCAAGAGTGCATAAATTTAGCTCGAGGTCTGTACAGCCCCATACGACCTGGTTAACATGGTTAACAACTCGGAAATGGTTTGGCGTGTGCCAGTACCCTGGACACATGGAAGGATGGAGCGGCACATTATTGAGAAGGAAGGATTCCTGAAAATCACCAAATCCAAATCGCTTCGCTGCTCCTCAGCTATCCAACGGGCGATCTCTGGTTTGAATAGTAACGGTAAGTGGAAACGTCTACTTGCGCAATATTACCCGCATGCAAATAGCGGCCAGTTAATCGTAGTACCTATATGGATAGATACTGTATTGTTTCGCTTGTTTCAAGTATAATCAACTATCAAGCTAGCACAAAACGGGCTTCATGGCGCGATCACGACGCGTCTCTTCATCTAATTAGCCGATAGCCGTCGCCGCTAAGCAGGCAAGGCTGAAATAACACGGCATAGCTGACTTGGCTGATCTTCAAATAAGAGCAAATGCATAGAGGCGAAACAAAAAGTGTAAATAGACTAGGTGTTCAAGCTGAATAAGTGAGACTACACCAGTTGCTTGCTCTGCTTGTTGAATCTATTTAACATGGTATGAATTAATAGACAGAAGTTTACAATCAAAGGACAAAAAGATATTCGAAAGAGGAGCAAAAGGGTCTGGCCGGGGATTGAACCCGGGACCTCTCGCATACTTGAGCGTAGGGTGTACCCTAAGCGAGAATCATACCACTAGACCACCAGACCTGTGATAGTTACTTTGATTACCTAAGCAACTTCGATGTAAAAGAACTTGCAAAATAAGTATATGCTGATAGCTGTAGCCGGGATGGTTTCAGCTTTGATACCGAATGAGCTGAAAGTAACTTCCTAAAAAGTATCCCTTCTAGCGATATCATAGGTAGAGGAAATGTGGTTTTTTTTGGTGCGGGGCCTCTAGCTAAGGTGGCGATACGAAGCAACGGGTCAACGATAATATGCGGAATTATTCGGGTATAAACCTCTCAGTTGGCAGAGAGGAAGAGAGGATTCTCAAGCTTGAAGTTATAGAAGATTATTTCTATTCAAATACTCTTCTAAGCCCTTATAGATTGTACGTCGCGTCCCCACCTCCAGCGCAGTCGATGTTGCACCTTGTCGGGAACCTCATATTGAGGTAGGCCAAAGACACTTGATGCCGCGTAAAGAACTCTAAAATACATTGGTGGGCGCTGCCTCCCTATGTATGGAAGTCCCTTTGTCTGTGTGCCTCCTCTTATTGCCCAGATGCTTGTGTGCCCTGTAACATATTGATATGGAGCCACAGCTGAAGCATATGATCTTGTCAATTTCTCCAGAGGACCGAAATGTTGCGTACTGCGTGCTCTAGCTTCTAGGTATCGAAGGTAGACTTAGATAGCAAGAGGGCCAAGTAGCCCGTGTATATTCAATACTCAACTTCCGACTTGGGTAGGTATGAGAATCAGAGGACGAAACATGAAGAGAAGATCAAGATTACAACTCCAAGATTTGCTTAGCTTCATGAACATCCTTCAGTTTTTGATAACAACATATTACATGTGATCGTCGATGTTCTTGATATCCTGCTTGAATATGTACACGAGACGATTTTGAGCTACGAAAATATTTCAGAGCATTAGATTAATCAGAACAGAACTAATCAGGGCACAATGCCTCTACATTATTAAGGGCGTTGGATTGATCGGGTCACGATTCTGCCACTTCGGGCGTAGACTAACGTTTGGCATAGGGTCTCGGGTAACAACTTTAAATCAAAGCAGTATGAGATCTCTCGTGAAGCCAGTGATCGAGAGTGCTGGTCAATCTGTTAGTCGTTGGCTCTCGTGCTAGAAATGGGATTGTCAGTTCGGAGTTCAAATCATTATAGTTAATCTTTGGTTTTCCTTTCTAAGTAGACTATTGAGTGCCGTTAGACTTTCCTTATCAACTGTTACATCTTGAGCCTATTCATGGAGATCTTTCTCGGCTTGTATGAAGTACTGTACTTGAACGATAAGAAACAAAATACAAGCCATAACACAAGATTGCTGGGACGGAGTTAAGCTTTACTTCTGGGTGCGGTCTATTCCTAAACAAGTTAAGCATACAAGCTCTAATCCAAAAAGGCATGCATTCTAGTTAGGGCTTAGAGCCACGCTCGCGAGACTACAACCAAAAAAATTCATTTTGATCTTGAATATCAGCCAAAAATAGAGGATATAGGAGGAATTGAACCTCCGATGTTGGACTCGCGGGGAATCGAACCCCGGACCACTCCCATGCTAAGGGAGTATTATACCACTAAACCACAAGCCCGTGGATATGTATTGTAACCCCTCGCAAATGGCTCTCTAGCACGCCGTGGGTTCTGATGTCTTTGCTCGATCATGATCATACTTTCTGCCTCAGAGCTGTGACGGGCATAGCGGCGTTACGTAAGAGACGCATCTTGGAGAATGCCTGTCATGTTGAATGGGTTGCTCTGGGGCATGTGATTGTGGTTGACATGTATACCAGAAAGTTCAATGCAATAGAAAATATCTGCATTATACCACCAACCTCAGAACCGCTTACCCTATATGATCAATACGCTTGGGTTCACGCTGAATGGGCAATCCTGGCTCGAAGCTATATGCAAATCATTCATAAATAGTCAAGGTACCATGTAATACACGCTCGACAAAGAAGCAGCATTATATCTAACTTCGGCGTTAGATCTCTTGCACCTTTGAACTAGAAAGTGAAAAATTGGAAGACTGGCCTGTGTTCCCACTTCAATATTATGTAGATCTGATCCTACTGTTACTCATTATAACCCGCCCCCAACTCTCTTATAGCGCAAAATCGCCACTAAAAAGCCATCGCGACTGCATTCAAAAACATTCCCCCAGCTATTACACAGCCAGTTGGTCGCATCTTCACACGAAGAACAGGGCCCGGGTGAGAGATCACCTCTTCTATTCATAAGCAGAAACGGCGATGCCCATTATGTATGGTCGTTATTATCCAAATCGCTGGATCGGCTAGATACCTATAATACAGTGATGATATCACGTAGGGATAAATTTATACTATCCAGACTTAGACTCAGATGCAAGAGGCTGTGGAGGGGGCATCACGCTTACCATATCTTCAACACTATGATCCCCGGTTACTGTGTATGGTAGTGAAATGAGAACGTTATCATGAAAGAGCTCGCTCTTCAGCTCACCGTGGTCTGTTGCAAGATGCTTTGACCGTTGCTCTCGAGTAACATGGATTTTTGCGGTTAAAGCGGGCGTAAAATCGTCTCGTCATAGAATTTTAAAACCCATCAAACAAGTGGTCGAACTGATTAACCATTGACTCGGTATACGGGTCTCTCTTGCCGTCGTCCTCCGGATATACATCGAAACATTGCGCATCGGCAGGATGCCGTACGTTGGGCTGGATGGGTGGGCGAATTTGGCGGCGATAGAGGGCTTGCCAGTCGATACCGTGGAAGAACGCATGGGATTTTACTTGTTGAGAGCCGCCACTAATGTTTCCTAGCCGTCTTGAGCGATCCACTGTGCAAAATGACCTAATAATATGTTGCGCGTCTGGGGAGATGGGTGGCTCTTGAGGGAAAAGGACCGGCTTCTCGATAATCCTAGACGAAATTGATAAGGAGGCCAGCGTACGAGGCGAACGAGAAGACCTACTGTTTATAGATTTCGATTGGATTCTGGTGCCAGAATGGGGGGTACCCGGTAAGAAACTCGTACTATAGCACTGGGAGTCAGCCAAAGCCGCTTGAGGAGCAAACTGCAATCATTTATAAACGCGGAAGCCCTGTTCGTATAAAGAAGGGACATTGGACTCTTATGGCCAAGAAGAAGCAACCGAGGATTACGCACTATTAGAATCCCCAAGGCCCACCAGTCAACCGCTGTGGTATGACCTTTGTTCTGGATCACCTCAGGCGCGAGGTATTCAGGAGTTCCGCAGAGAGTGTAAGTTTCGACTGGCCTATCGCCTTTACTTCCTAACCTCTTGGCGAAACCGAAATCCACAAGCTTGACATGACCTTGCCCATCCAACAGTAAATTTTCGGGCTTGAGGTCTCTGTATGCCACGCCGCCTTGCTGTTCGTGTAGAAACTCGAGCACCAAAACAATTTCTGCCGCGTAGAACTGCGCCCACTCTTCCGGAAACCGACGGTGTCTCCTTAAGTAACTGAACAGTTCACCACCGGGAATGTAGTCGAGGAGCATATAGAGGGAATCGTAGTCGGAAAAGGTAGTGATCAGCCTCGTGATGAAGGGGTGGCCGGCGACATCGCTGAGAATCCGGCGCTCATCTCTAACGTGATCGATTTGCTTAAGTTTGATGACCTCTGTCTTTCGTAAGATCTTGAGCGCAAAAACTTTCTCTTTGTTTTCATTGCTCCCAACAGCTGGACGGACAAGACAGACTCGAGCGAAGGTGCCTAATGGACGCCGCGAACGGCCGTCTCCGTGTTAGTGACTGTGATTTATCATCTCGCTAATATCAACACCAACCCTAGCACCAGCGCGCGCAAGACGTTTATTATGCATGGCGTAACAACAGAAGAAAAGCAACGAAAGAAACGATGCAACTAGAATAAAGGACATACCGGTACCGAGAGTTCGGACGAGAGCAAAGTCGCTCAATTTCACTCGCTGATGCTGTGGTGGTACCTTAGGCCCCGCATCCTCGCTACCGTAAGCATCTTGCTGCGAAGCCCCGCCAGCAGCGTCCGTCGCGGCGGCGATGGAGACGGAATTGGGGTCTTGCACTGGCACTGGGCCCGGATTCGAGGCCACTGTTGCGGCCATAATCATAAAATGGTGCCTCGCAGCTGCGTAGTTGACTTGGATTGACCCTATGCTGTCGGAGGGTCAGCATTGGGAGGCTGGGGGGAAGCGCAATGGCAATGCATCGATGACTGGTTGCTGGAGGTAGGTAGGCTTGGTAAAAGGAGCAGGCTTATAGCTACACTAATAATAAGAGGAGGCTGATCAGTGAGGATGTCAGGGTTGTCAAGGGTATGTCAGATCCACATGCAAGCAATCGAGCCCACCCAGATGATTCCACACTAGACCGACTATGTAGCCACTCTTAGTATGCAGCTACTGGCGCAGCATGACAACAACTGCAAGCTTAGCGAGCGGGCGATTAGGCACTGCGGAGTCAATTTCCGAATGCTATCTCAGTAAGTTGACATCCGTGTCAGCCACAACCCATTAGTATTTGATATGAGGGTTATCCGAGCACCTACTGGAGAAAGCGCCAGCAAGAATCGTGATAATTGTACGCAGTATTGTAAAGATCATAGGAATATACCTCGGACGTTATTGGTAAAACGTATCAGCGTCAAAGGCTGGTCTTAGTAGCGCCAAGTAGAAATCTTTGTGTACTAATCATTCTAACCATTTCCAAGGTTGGGCAGATGAAATGGTCATGGACCTCTGGCATATGCAATGACGTACTGCGACCTAAATACGGGAAATGCTGACTGGGACCTGGAAGCTGGAAACTGGAGAAAGGTGGGGGGCCGCGTGGGGCCGGGCCCCCATTTATGCTGTACGAATTGAAAAAAACGTGGGAATGTGGGAATGCCTATTATAGAAATGCCGTGAAGTACAGTACCATAAAAGATGCAGGCATCTTGACTTTGCTGCTTCTCATAACATCAGGTAGCTACTACCTACCTACCTACCTCCCTTTTAGCTAAGAAAATAGGTAATGGAGCTTAATTTAGA